TTCAAAGTTTCATTCAAAATTGTATTCCTTCACAACCTTGTCAGTTATTGATGCCTTCTTTGCTTTTCTTCATAGCCTTTAAAATGTTTTCTTCTTATAATAACACTTACCATTACTTGAAATTTTATTTTTATCTCCCTTGACAAAAAGGAAGTACTATAAATGCACTGGTTTTATCTATTCTCTTGACTCTAGTATCTCCAGAGTGCAGATCCACACCTTGTCCACAATAGGTACTAAGTATTTGTTGACTAAATTTATGAAGTATTTCCCAATTGTCACTTCTCATAACTTGCTACAGTACTTCTTATTGTCATAGTTTTAAGTTATCATGTTACTGTTGCTCTTATATTTAAAAAAGGGTCTTTTCCACTTTTATTCTATGCTTTTCTTCCAGTCCTTATGATTTCATTTTAACTTTTACTCATTAATCTAGCTAGGATTCATTTTATTTATGGTATGAAAAGAAAATAGTTTACCCCCTCCCTCAATTCCTCAGTATGCATTAAATAACCTGTACTTGTTTGAAGTATCACTTTTTAACACATACTAAGTATATACATATATAGAATTTCCTTCACAAATTATTTATATTGCTTCTACTTTGCATTTTAATAAATTTTGATGATAGCATTCTAGGCTCATCTACTTAACTATGTTCTCTTCTTTTATTGGTGGAACTGCATTCTAGCCATAAGGCAGTTATGGTTTAATACACAAACTGAAATTAAATTAAACCAATGTGCTTAGTCATGTAATGTCACTGTCTCAAACAATATGCTTTTAAATGACATCTATAACTTGTTTCTATTGTGTCTAAAACTCATGAGATGTATGGATATTATGAGGAAGGGAGGAAGAGAAAAAAAATAAGATTAAAGATGGAAATACCTGGGCATTTGACTTTATCTAAGATATTCTACAATATTTTGATAGGCTGTTTACACTGACTTTCTCTCTCTCCCATGACTGGTTAAAACTCACAGAACTGTGTTAGAATTCCCATCTAATGGGGTTAAGGCTTAAGTGTTGCACCTTCACACTTTGACCCACTCTGTGCCCATTCACATGTGTGCTCATTCATTCTAAGAACATCTGTATTTCATAATACAGGTGGAGACCAGGCCTTGGCCCTGATGGTTTGCTATCTAACAAAGAAATCCATGTATTTAGTTTTCTAACCAAAATAATTCTCTCTCATTCAAGAGATGCACTTGTGCATCTGTTATTTATTTGATATGCTTTTCCTTCTCTCCTACTCACTTCACAGTTTTGGTTTAGCAAATACATTGGGTGAAATGAGGAAAATTATATAGACCAAAATAGTAGGAAGTGCTAAATTGTCATTAATTAAATAGCCAAGTGTCTAAGAGAAAGAAATAGACTGAAGCCATTTGTGGCTGATTCTTTCTAAGGTTGCCATAATTTTGTTTCTAATAGACAAATTTCTTTGATGTATATGGAATTAAAATAATTTATGTCACCAGATTTCAAATAAAATTGATAATACTTGAGAACACACTATTGATTATGTCTATATATGGTTGAAAAGTTAAATAATATATAACTTTTTAATATAAAATCCCAACTACCAAGCAAGCACTCTGTTTAAAAAGAATGAGCTACTGGGAAAAAAGACTATATATTAAAATTCCATATTCTGTCCCAGCTTCCATTATATGCGATAAAGTTATCTACTCAAAATAGTGGCTCTTACAATTCCAAGGTTATGTAGAGTGGGGAATAAGGTAAGGCAATCATTCTATTTTTTTAATTCACTGCCCTCTGCCAAAAAAGACCTAAACCACAACAAATTCAAGTGCTTATGGTCAAATGTATTCTAGTTCATTGTTGCCTAGCTTTAGGTTCACAATTTGATAAACCTAAATTTTCAGATGATGGAGGGAAAGTCTTGAATAGGAAGAAGGTGGAAAGAAATTCTTTTAAAAGGAGAGAGATTCCTCAACAGGATGAACTTATGAAGGGCAAGTGACTCAGCAAAATCTTCGTATGTAAAAACTTCTTCTCACAAGTCTTTACCTTTTGCACTCTTGCATTTCTCTACCCATGCCCTAAACGATCCCTTTTCAGCCTTGACCCTCTGTTTTCTCTTCTGTCCTTTGCTCTTCCTCTCCTTCCCTTCTTTTCTCCCTCCATCTTTATAATGGGCGGAGGCTACTTTCAGTGACTCACACTGTAATGCTCAGTTTGTGTTATAAATAAAGCTTCTGCAACTTCCCTGGTCCTGGAATTCCTCTTGGACAGAATGATTATCCATACAAACTCTCTCCAGCTGTGGCCAAACACATAGCTCTATTCTTTAAGCTCAACTAAGACAAACCCAATGAGCTTATCCATAACATCACATGTTCACTTCATATCCTTCACTGCTCTGCACTGGGTTAACATCTTAGATCTTTTTAGTTATGTCTTGCCTTTTAAGGTATGTGTAAAATGTCAAAACAAAACAAAGTAACAAGACATGTTTGGATGGAAATAATTTTCAAATTAATAATTTTCATTACCATAACTTCTAGAAAACCCTGTAAGGGGGGGCTCTGAAACTGAGGGTAAAGGTTCTGAGAACCTTTTTCACCTGGACATCTATCATGGACCAAGTGTGCACACCTGTAAGAAACTAGTAGCTTACAGTGCATTTTAATATTTTTACAGAACAGTTAAATTATCATATCCCCGAAGATGCAGCATTTTCTCTTTCTTTGCCTAGGAATCTGTTTTGGAAGCTAATTCAATGATTACTACTAGGACATGGAATTTTGATATTCATTTGGTCCTGATTTACACCAGTATCTTTAAGGCTGCCAACAAGAAAGTCCAGAATTTCAGTCAGCCAAAATTCCACAAGAGACAACTGTCTTTTATTTTATAGCTTATGAATTTGGGGCTTAATATGATTTTCCACTAACAAGTTCTGTACCCCCTCCAGAGTGCGAAAGCTGGTGTGTAGATCAGCAAAGTAACACAGAACATATGAGGCAAGTTAATATTAAACTTGAAGGAAAACTGTACAAATTATATTGTTTACTTAGGGAAAAAGCACTCTAGTTGAAAGGGCTGACATATGATTTATTGCAAACACTTAACCAGCATGTTCACATTTTTACTCTCAACTCTACTGTAACGGTCATTTGGAGGTGGTGCAGCATGGATATTGTATTAATAAAGTCATCAATTAAAAATCCACTAGACGTTGGTAAGGAATAGCACTAAATATTTCATGTCTTCTGTTTTTATTAAATGTTTAGGAAAAATGCAAAATCATGTCCAGAATGGGTAATAAAATCACAGGCAAATAACTTATGGAAGAGTTAGATAGATAACTTTTTAAGTGTAAGTAATGAAGAACCTGTTTAATTAAAAACAACAAAATGTTTTTAGTTACGACAAATAATTCTGTTGCCAAACAAAACTTCCATGTATAGTTATGTCAGGTGAGTGTATGCTTCTCAGTCCTGTCTCGTCACAACAAAGATTTGGAGTGACAGGCATTAAAGCCCTTGGCTATTCACAGCTCTTGGGTCCTGGACAGACTCTGTTATAGCTCTTAGACAAATTAGTGTTACAGCTCTATGTTACAGCTCTATTTTATTTAGAAAATAGAGGGCGAATCCATCCTTGAGGTGTGAGGGCACGTTTTTATATGTTTTTTCCTCCCCCTGGGCCTGCCCTATGTAAATTGAGCTATCAAGGAGTGCTGTTTGTTCTGCCTGAAGTCCTCACTCTGGTCCTCGGACCTTCATTTGTTCTATTTTGGTGGGCTTTTCCCTTCCTTGTCTTTTAGCCACCGCCATTCTGGACTCCTGTTTCCTATTCCAACTACCTAACAGTTAAAAGAGGAATTCAGTATAGTATTTCTTCATATGCTCAAAGAAATCTTTTGAAAAAAAATCAAAGAGAGAATAAACACTGGAATGCGGAAATAACTTATTATCTTTATGAAAAACTATGAAATCTTCTTCCCCAGATGCCATGGAGAAAAAGAGAGACAGGCATTCATCTTTTACTATTTAATTGTTCCATACCTAAATCAGTTTCCCTAGGATTCCAGCCCTCTTAAAAAACTTTTGTGTTTCATACAACTTCTAGTATATAACTGATAAAATCATCATAGGAAGCCTCATAGTTATTTATCTACAAAGCTAGATATCAAACACGTCATCTTACAGTGTTTCTCAGTAAAGACACATTAGTTATCTCACATAACTTTACAGATGAGGCATACTGAAAGAAAACATAAAGGAAATGTTTCTCTAGCTGAATCCCATAGTAACTGCTAAGAAAACCACACCAGATGCTCTCTAGACTCGATGTTAGACTTCTAAACTCTTCTTTCAAAGTCTGGCCATGTTACCTACCATGGATGACTTCTGGACAAGCCTCATCAGGACGTGCTCTGCTTTCTTGGAAGAGATACAAATCTCTGATGAATTCTCTGGTTCATCAGACAGAAAGAGATAGCAGTATGTACATATATGAGCACCAAACAACACCAGTATATTTCTGAACCAGTAGCTGTATAAAACAAAATTATTTTAACCATGTTGACAAGCTGCTCTATTTAATGACAGTTAAAAGTAAATATAAGTATGAACAAATGGAAGAAAGACTTCTGACACCTATTATTTGCTTTTATAATAAGAATATTTATATAAAAATCATTAAAATATGTTGCTAAATTACTATATGAAGTTTATTATCAGCAAATAATATAATTTTACCTGTGTAAAACCTTTTAAACTGACACTGAGTGGATAAATTATCTCTTATGTAAAGTTACTGTTTGTAGAAGAAAATAACATGAAGAAATATACACAAGTTAATCTTCAAAGCTTAATGTCTGTATCTGTACCATGTTACAAGATCATTTTATTTTTAAAGAAGGCCAAGGAAACACATTTTTGGTGGCAGACAACCACATACTTATTGCTTTATCAGTACTAGCTCTTCATTTAAAACATGTATTTCTGGTTCATTTAATCAAGAATAAATTTGTTTTATTTGACACAGAGTTATGACAAATTTCACTCTTAAGTTCTCATTAGATTTCCAAAAGACGCCCTACTAAATTCAAATTATGGCTAACTCTACAAGTGTGCTTTATGGAGGAAGTGGAGAAACGCATTTTCAACTATATCAGATCTGCAGCCAATTGCTTCACATTAACTTGTTTATCCTTCCAAACTTCCCCTCTCTGTTACTTTCTGTCCTACACTCATTCTTTATTCAGTCTTTACTAATTTGTTTTATAAATAGCAGTATAATCAGCAGTAATGTGACCAGAATGCAGTATATTATATTTCCATCCTTTTTCATATAAACATTTTGGCAGTCAGTCAAGTTCACTGTGACCTTTGGAAGTCTAGCCATACAGAAGACCAGGTATGGTAGAATGTACACTACTTAATATATACAAACTTGAATCCTGACAGCAAAAAGTAGAGGTTAAAAGACAGAGTAACTTATCATTAAGACTGAAATAAATTTGATAAACTTAAATGAGAGGGTTCTAAAAACCCAGACTAAATTATACCCCTCACTTGTAGATGAATGAACCCAGTCTCAGGGAGCTTGTTTGGAATGTTTTGTCCAATCATTCATGACCAATGGGGAGCAGGTGCTCGATATCACCATTGTTTTATATTTGAACTCCATCTGCTGCTTTAGGTTCGAGGCAAGAACCACTCAAATGTGTCCCAAATAATTCTCCATCTGACAGCAGTGGAGTCACGGCAGGGGTCTGTGTGGTCAGTAGGGAAAGGGCTGGGGGAAAACCGGGAGTCGTGTCTTCTGGCAGAGAACTGTGATGATAGTGAATGGGAGAGTGTGGGTATTTCCAAAGTACCTGCCTTGAGGTTATGGCTGGCATTCTTGGTGGAACTGCTTTAATCCCAGGTTGGGCTACTGCTGTTATCAAAGGGGGTGGAAAAACAAAAGATTTCTTCTCTTTTGGAATGCCAGGCATATGTAAATGCTCATCCTTTAGTTTTGCAATATCATTAAATACTGAGGCAAGAGGTTGGAACTTGGGTTCCCAACTGAGGAGATAATCCCAGGGATATCTCATCATGACATCATGATCAGAGTCTTTCTCGGTTGAGAGAGCTGCACAGCCTGCTTCCTGATCACTTGAAATAAAGATAGTCTCCTTCCTGACATCAGCCTGGATGCCCACTTTTACCTCTCTCTTCTTCAGTGGCTGGGGTAAGACATTATTTTGGACATAGGTCATGCCACAGCCCTCTCCTTGAGCTCCTTCCTCAAATACATGGCTGGTTCCTTCTGTTTCAGCAGTGACCATCACATCAGTTCCCCCAGACAAACAGGAGAGCTGGTCTGAGTCCCTTGGGATCCCAGAGTCTGGCACCCTGGACTCCTGATCACTCAAAGTTGAGTCAGCATCCTTTCTGTAAGGGTGTTCATTTATCCTCTGGATTTCCTTATCTTCTGCAGTTTCTCCTTCCACAGAACAGTGATCACTGGAGTTCGAGTGCCTGTACAGATGTGCAATGTCCTTCTCCATGACTCTTATTAAACTCAACCATTCAGGCGTGGAGTCCACAGGCACTGCCTTATCACCGCTCTCACTAGTTTTCTGGAAGGGTTTCAGTGAACTGGCATCCCTAGTCAGTCTCAAATTGATATCTAAGGATGATGATGGTTTCTTTTCTTCGTAATTATTTATTGCATCTTTTTGTTTGTGTTTTAAAATCAGTACAATTAGAATGAAGACAAGCAACAGAAACACTAGAAAGGAGGTGGTGAGACTGATCGAAAAGCTGCTAGCTAATCCTGTGGAATGTTTCCCTTCTGAGGAAAAAGACACATTCACAAAAACAGTACAAGATGTAAACCTGGAGTCCAGTTTGGGGCTATGAGCAATTATCTTCATTTCAATACTGTCTTCTTTGCTGACTTGACTTATTATTAGGGGAAGTGCTGTACTCAAATAAATATCTCCGTTAGTTTTATTTACTGAAAAGAAAGGAGATGGAGTTTCAAGGGAGTAAAGGATGACTCCATCAACACCGGCATCTGCATCTGATGCTTCCACTCTGCCAATCAAATGTCTTACATTACTCTTTTCTGGGAGGTTGAAAAAATATTGATCCTGAGTGAAAATGGGTTCAAACTCATCTATCCCTTCAACATCCACCCAAACCATTAAGGAGGCTGTTGAGTCACCTTTGTCTTTGGCCTGAACTATGAGGCAGTATCTGTTGTCAGTTTCATAGTCAAGGACTTGCTGAGCACTAATATCCCCTGTTAGAGGGTCAATGAGGAAGAAGTTATGCTCACGTGGCATCTCATGAGGGAGAGGACAGGGTGATACAATGGAATAGGTCAAGTCTCCATAAGGGCCTGCATCAAAATCCAAAGCGTTTACAGAGCATATGGTGGAGAAAACAGGTAGATTTTCAGGAACAGCACACTTCAAGTTTGGAAACATAAACTGAGGTGCATGGTCATTATCATCCAGGACATTGACAAACACAACTGCAAAAGAAAAATGCTTCTTTTCCTCATCTGAAGCTTGGACAGTTAAAGTGAATTTTATTGTTTCTTCATAATCTAGTGGTTTAATCAAAGAAAGAACTCCAGTTTTTTCTTCTAAGCAAAAATGCCCCTTCTCATTTCCAGAGGTTAAGTAGTAGCTGACTTCTGCATGTGAGCCCACATCATGGTCACTTGCTGAGACCACGATGATGGGACTCCCTGGAGGGGCACTTTCCTTGATGTGGGCATAATATTCCAGACTGCTGAATGCAGGTGGGTTATCATCCACATCTAGGACTTCTATTGATACAGTGGTTGAGGAACTCAGTGGAGGGCAACCATGGTCAAATGCCAGAAGGACAAGCTCATGACTGGCAGTTGCTTCTCTGTCCAGATGGTGAAGCAACACTAGATAACCAACTTGCTTATAAGAGTATTCTGAATTAATAAAACTAGTTTCCACATGGAAATTGTTCTGTGAATTACCACTGATGATAGAATATTCAACATGTGTGTTTTCACGGGTCCAGTCATGGTCAATGGTTGAGAAGGTGACAAGTGTGCTTCCAACTGGAGTGTCTTCACTTAAGCTAAGATTATCATATTCTACTTCAAACTCAGGGGCATAATTGTTCATATCTTGTATTTCTGTCTCCACTAAGGTAACAGCCTTCAGGTCAGGAAATCCACCATCACTGGCTTCAACAAGAAATCGAATTGTTGATTTTCTCTCCATAAGGAAGACAGGATTGATAGTAAATATTGTGCCTGAAAAACAACACAGCCTTACAATGTTGTGAAATAAGGTTTGTATGATCCTCTTAGTCAGCCAATATTTACTAATATGTAAAGTTATCTGTTAGATGTGTCATTTAAGCTATAACCAAGGGTAACCCTAAATAGAAAGCTTAAATTATTATATTTATACTTCTGTAACACTTAAGATTCAGAAATATTCATAGAGTTCACTCAATTAAATATGTGTGCTGCTTAAAAATTCATTTTTGTATGGTAAATTGTCCCATTACTATTTTTTTAAGGAAAGGTGGCTTCCCAGGTGACTTATCTGGTAAAGAATCCACCTGCAATGCATGAAATGCAGGAGATGTGTTAGATCCCTGGGTTGGGAATATCCTCTTGTGGAGGAAATGGCAACACTCTCCAGTATTCTTGCCTGGAGAATCCCATAGACAGAGGAGTCTGGTGGGTTACAGTCCACAGGGTTGCAAAGAGACAGACATGACTGAAGCAGCTGAATACAAACACATTCTTATTTGAATAATGTATAACCCATTCTACCATCAATAGAACATGTATAGAGACATTCTGGCATAAAGATATTTATTCTGGAAATGCCAGATGGTATTCATTTGAGTCAAATGAAAGTAGTAAATATAATAGTGCAGACTTAACAACCATCGCTTAATTCTAGAGCTGTCTTTCCTAAAGCTATGGGTTTATTCAGCAAGTGGATCTTCCTACCATTGATGAAATATATGTAATATAATTTATCATTTTTAAATACACATTTTAAAATATATGTAATACATTTTTACTATTCTAAATATATATATATATATATATGTATGTATGTATGTATGTATGTAAAAATGTTTTTCTAAGGTAAATGTGCTTTTAGTACAGTCATGAAAGAAGAAAACAAAACAGTATCTTTTAAATGCCACATTTCAGTTAGAGTCCCACTGTGAACTCAGCTGACAGGGTAACAGTCAAGATTTTAAAAACATTCTAATCAATGTCTTACTGTAAAGTTTGTTGATAATACAAATACAAGGAAAAGCGCTGCCAGGATTGTGATTTGCTGCAGTCAAGAGAGTGAGATACACTAAGACAGAGGGACAGAAAAGTCAAACTCCTGACAAATCTACACGGTGGCCAATCATCCATTGGCCATGGGGCTACATTAGCTACTTCTCCCAATTATAACATTCCGAGGGCCTCATACTGATGTTTTGTGACCAAATTCTCCCTTCAGGTAATCCTGAGGTTAGCTTTTTAAAATTGAGAATATAATTGACATATAAAATTGTATTCGTTTTCAGTGTATACAACATAAGGATTCAATATTCATGTAACTGCAAAATGATCAGAGCAGTAAACCTAGTTAACATCCATCTTTCAGAAGTTAACTTCTAAGTCAGCTCTCCCTTGTGAAATGATGCAGTGGTGGGTACAGATGGGGAATGCACAGCATAACGTGTCCCAATTCAGTTCAGTTCAGTTACTCAATCATGTCTGACTCTTTGCAACCCCATGGACTGCAGCATGCCAGGTTTCCCTGTCCATCACCAACTACCAGAGCATGCTTAAACTCAAGCCCATTGAGTTGGTGATGCCATCCAACCATCTGATCCCCTGCCATCCCCTTCTCCTCCTGCCTTCAATCTTTCCCAGCATCAGGGTCTTTTCCAATGAGTCAGTTCTTCGCATCAGGTGGCCAAAGTATTGGAGCTTCAGCTTTAGCATCAGTCCTTCCAATGAATATTCAGGACTTATATCCTTTAGGATGGACTGGTTGGATCTCCTTGCAGTCTAAGAAGACTCTCGAGAGTCTTTTCCAACACCACAGTTCAAAAGCATCAGTTCTTTGGTGCTCAGCTATCTTTATGGTCCAACTCTCACATCCATACATGACTACTGGAAAAACCATAGCCTTGACTAGACAGACCTTTGTTGGCAAAGTAATGT